TGATGGGGAACCCTTGTGTGGGGAGCATATATGTGTTCCTGGGGCTACAGATGGGGAACCCTGGTCTGGGTTGGGAACATATGTGTTCCTGGGGCTACTGATGGGGAACCCTGGTCTGTGTTGGGAATATTTGTGTTCCTGGGGCTACAGATGGGGAACCCTGGTCTGGGTTGGGAATATTTGTGTTCCTGGGGCTACTGATGGGGAACCCTGGTCTGTGTTGGGAACATTTGTGTTCCTGGGGCTACTGATGGGGAACCCTGGACTGTGTTGGGAACATTTGTGTTCCTGGGGCTACAGATGGGGACCCCTGGTCTGGGTTTGGAACATTAGTGTTCCTGGGGCTACTGATGGGGAACCCTGGTCTGGGTTTGGAACATTAGTGTTCCTGGGGCTACTGATGGGGAACCCTGGTCTGGGTTTGGAACATTAGTGTTCCTGGGGCTACTGATGGGGAACCTTGGTCTGGGTTGGTAACATTTGTGTTCCTGGGGCTACTGATCTTCTACCCAAATGTGGGTACCTTGGGCTAAGGTAGAACCCGGCTCTGAGCAAAGGAAACTTTGTGTAGCTGGGGATGAGCTAGAACCCAACTCAGACAAACAGAATACTTGCGTACCTGAGAATTTGTGACTTCCTCCAGATCTCCATAGCAGCCTTTCTTGTGTCGGATCAGATCTCCCCACAGCACAGAATTGCCACAGCTGTAAGAAAACATATTGAGTTCAATAGAAATAAGACATTTCTCTCAATTATTTCAATAAAAGAAAACTGTTCTGCACCTGGGACAGAGGCCCTCCACGGGGATCAGCTGCTGGGGCTGGTTCAGGAGGAAGAGTTTAGACAGACAAATGACATGTGCGTTCAGAGAACAGCCCGGGTGGAAGCAGTGCAGAGCGTCGTCTTCGCTCTACAGGACAGAAAGGTCAATGGTTAGTTACAAAGGCAGTATTCATAGGGTCTATTTGTAAATGACAATGGCACTTCGCTCTGGGAATGATTGAGCTATGTGAATGTATGTCAAAATGAACGTTCTTTAGGTGTTTGTTTTTTTTTACAAGAGAATGTATTGTCAAATGTTTGTTCATGTAATACTGTATTACGGCCACTAGAAGGCGATGGGGAAGCATGGAAAATAAATGTATTTCCTGTAATTGTTCAGCTCCACCTAGTGGCCATAGTGTGATAATACATGAAAACATTTAAAAACTCATTGCACTTGTACAGAAAATAACTAAAGAATGTTCATTTTGATATGCACAGAGTGAACGTTCACAGATATTTGCAGGCTGAACGGCCATGCGAATTGTTAATAAATAGACCCCTGCGTGTGTTTCAGCTACTGTAACACCTATGTGAGATAGAATAGCCAATCAGAAGAGAACCCTCTTAGGTTAATGACGTGTTGCCCAGGCTACTGCTCCGTACATCCCTTGCTCCTGGGTGAATAATCCAGACATTAGAAACGTCTGGTTCACAGAGACCTACCTGCACTTTTTCATAGCAGACGCGGCATCGCTGTGGGGAGGGCTGCCGACTCGTCCCTTCCTCTCCCTGGCCCTTTTCTCCTTGGTTTTTAGAGATCGGACGTGCCCTCACCTGCCCAAAAGCCAAGGGCATGTGAAGAGGGGGCTGGAGCAGGGGGGGCAGCTCCCTATGGTACTCTTGTCGCAGCCAACGCAGGGTGAGCGGCAGGCGGTTCCACGGGGCCACCCGTAACATGTGATAGAGGACCATCAGGTGGAAGTCAAAACTGGACTGCTTCTTTGTCTTGCGTGGCACGTGGGTGAGCCTGCGGGATACGTGGGGGTGCTGCCAAGCCCACTCAAACTGGGAATAGAAAGAGAGAGAGAGAGAGTAAGCTGGTAGAGGACTGCAACATGGACTTTATTCCTATTTACTAAATACTAGGGATACACCGATACCGTCTTTTCAGTGTTGAGTACGAGTACCGATATATTTTTTTCCGGTTCTCGTCGATACCGAATACCGATAGCGGAAGTCCCATTAAGGAAGCCGGGTAATGACTCGCCACCCGGCTTCCTGATTAGCAGGGAAGCCGCTTCCATACTTCCTCCTCACCAGGTGATGAGGAAGCACGGAGCCGGCTTTCTGGCCAATCAGGAAGCCGGGGGGAAGGTAACGACTCGCTGCCTGGCTTCCTCGTTGGCCATCTTCCCGACCATTAAAGGAGAACTATGGGGTCAGGGCTTTTCCCCATAGTTCTCCTTAGGGTAACGGGAGGACACAAACTAGCGTCCTCCCGTCACCCTAAGCTCAGTATATAGGGAGCTGCTGCTCGCGGTATACTGAGACACCGCAGCCGGAGCGGATCCCGACATCGATGTCGAGATCCGCCCAGCTGCGTGAGTGACAGCTGGCTCTGCCTATCTAGAGGCAGAGCCAGCTGTACCCGCCCCCTTCCGTTCCACCAGTCAGCGCTGGCGGGGAGGGGGAATCCAGCCCCTCCCCTGTCACGGCAGAGAGCCATGACAAGATCGAGAGGTGAGTGAACGCCGGTATGTGTTCGCTCACCTCCCGATCTACTGAGCCGACCTGTGACAGTCTCATTGTCACAGGTCGGCTAGAACTATGAGGTGAGTGGAAATCACTCATCTCATAGTTCTCCTTTAAGGAAGTCGGCAGCGAGTCATTACACGCTGCCCGGCTTCCTGATTGGCTGGGAAGCCTGTTCCATGCTCGCTCATCACCAAGTGACGAGGGAGCATGGAGCCGGCACAGCATGTAATGATTCGCTGCCCGGCTTCCTGATACCGGAAGTTTGGGTATCAGGCTAGGCATTGGAGTATTTGGGCGAGTACGAGTACTTGCCCTAATACTCAGCATCGGTGCATCCCTACTAAATAGCTTTGCTCTGAGCTATGATTTGCATAGCCCCACCCACTTACCCATAAGCAGAGGCTGAGTTTTGTGCTGGAAATGAGGACACGTAAATCCCTTCAGGTATAAGAAAGCAATGCTGCATCTCTCTTTAAAGGAAGAGAAATCTCCCCAAAATAAACAGAGTATACACGACATCATTTCAAGGTCACAGCTGCACCCCTAACAATGCTTCTTCCTCCGCTGCTCCCGCTACTGGAATCCTAAGTGTCACCTGTGTTGGAGGCTACGGTGAGCAATGATACCGCCCCCCTCTGTCATGTGACATTGCTCAGACTTAACAATTGGCTGCTAGACCCATGTACTGTCAGCTGGAAGAGGTCAGATGCTCCCCAATACTTGGAAGCACTGCGTATTGGATTGAGCTGCAATATCGTTGGGAAAGCCGTGAACAATCAGCACCATGTCCCTGTAGGGGGGGGGAGAGAGATGGTTTTCAATAAACATACAATAAAACCTCTGGGGGTTTTGGAGCCTCTACAGAAATATCTCAATGGGTTAAACTCATCATCTAGCCGGGTCCTCTGCTAACAGTAAATGTGTCAATATCGGGAACACTGTCGTTTTGTAGTTTTAGATTTAGCAAAAAGTGTCTGAATGAAGAATTGTTCCTAATGTGTATATATTTGTGGGTAGTGTCACATCTCCACCTTGCCC